AAAATTGTTGAGTTTCATGCTTATGAGGAAAAAAATAGTCTCTTTTAAATTGAACATCCTTTTATGTACAATGTCTTCCCATTTATAATTTATATCTAGGTAATAAACAATGTTGTTCATTTTTAGTGCCATCATCCTTATAATACAAAATGCATCCATTGGTATAATAATCAATCTTTGGTGCATTGTAGACCTCGACGTTAATTTTTGGGTTGAAGCCGGTTAGTACCAAAATAATATACTAGATTGGTCTCTTTTAGCAGCATTACAAATTGATTGAAATATGCTTGAGAAATATTATAATATATTTCAATACTTAACATTCTAATTATAACATATAACTCTAAATGATTGGTGCAAACATGTCATAACAATTGCTGAGCAGCAGCATGCATAAATTTTTTTATCCTTACTATTTGGTGGCTCCTTAAAGATTTTTTCAATGGAATCATCATATCATGATATCAACAAGTCTGTTTATCAATTAACTGTGTATGGTTGATTGAAGCACCACACAAAAGTCAACACTTGCACATTGTGGTTCATACTTCCATTATGATATCCAAAACCAATGATCAGGTTAAAAACCTCCCCAATATAAATTTCTCCTCACTTCATTAGCCATTAAAAATAATTGGCTCTTGTGCTTATAATAAGAGCAACTAAGTTTTTCCTTTGTTATATGTAATGTTAACAAACCATAGAAATAAACAACGCAATTAAAATTAAGTTGCTAATCTTTTTTTTTTCCAAAATGAAGCTTATTGTATATCCAACATCATTGAACTATGATATTCATGTTTTGTGATTGAAAGAGTGTTAGTAACTTCAATTGGATATCGTCCTTAATACTTTTGTGTTAGAAATATCATTAACAAATCCTATTAAATTACTACTTAACCCTATGTACTTAAATTAATTTATATGACTATCATATTTGAATAAAAAATAAGAAGTTTTATTATAAAAATTGATTTAGATGTAAAAACTCGTAAAATTGGGAAATATATAAAGAGGCCCGTAAGGAGTCTAAGAAAGCAATATACGATAAAAGAATTTCAGCTTTTAATGATTTATTTAATAAATTGAATACTAAGGAGGGTGAAAGATAAATACATAAGTTAGCCAAACAAAGAGATATGAGTAATAAAGATTTAGTTCAAGTGAAGTGCATTAAGAATGAATATCAAAAAAGTGTTTTTATTAGAAGAGGATATTCAACAAAGGTAAAAGAGATGTTTTGCTAAGCTTCTCAATGAGAATTATGAGAATACGATTGACTTTAGTGACCATAGCACCCTAAACGAAAATAGAGTTTTTATTTTTATCGGCGTATTAGTAAAACTGAAGTTATAGAGACTTCAAAGAAAATGATATGTGAAAAAGCTGTTGAACCTGATGATATTCGACTAGAGGTGCATAAATGCTTAGGAGAAGAAGGAATTTCTTGGCATACTAAAATTTTTAATATTATTTTGAAGATTAAAAAGATGTCAGATGAGTGGAGAATGAGTGTGTTGATTCATATTTTTAAGAATAAAGATGATGCACAAGATCGTGCGAATTATAGAGGAATTAAGTTAATGTATTATGCTTTAAACTATGAGAGAGAGCTATAAAGAATAGGTTAAGATATGATACTTATGTTTCTCAAAATCAGTTTAGATTCATGTCGGGTAGGTCTACTATAGAAGATATACATTTATTGAGAGGTTCGATGGAGAAGTATATAGAGAATAAGGAGGATCTACATAAGATTTTTATTTTTTATTTAGAGAAAGCATATGATAAAGTTCCAAGAGAAGTGCTACTAGAAAAGAAAGGGGTTAGCAATGCTTTTATTCAAGTCATTAAAGATATGCATGTAGGAACTATTACTTGTGTTCAAACACAAGGTGATTTGACCAAGTATTTTCCTATTTCAATTGGATTACATCAAGGATCAGCCTTACTAGACATTTGCAAGAGATTGTATCTTGGTGTATGCTTTTTGTTGATGATATTCTTCTTGTTGATAAGAATAGAGAGGAGTTAAAGATGAACTTGAATTATGGAGGTCAACCTTAGAATTTAAAGGTTTTCGTTTGAGTAGATATAAAATTGAATATATGGATTTTAGTATTAATAGATCTAGTGGGGGATTGTGACTTTGGGCAATCAAGTCATTAATAAGAGTACATGTTTAGATATCTTGGGTCTATTGGTTTGAGTGATGGTGAAATTGATGGGTACATTATTAGTAGAATTCAAGTTGGATGGTTGAATTGGAGGAAAGTATTAGTCTTGTTGTGTGATAGAAAAGTCTCGCTCAAACTTAAGGAAAATTTCTATAAGATGGTGGTGTGACCTACAATGGTTTACGGCTTAGAATGTTGATGACCATTAAAAGAGAGCATAATTTTAAGTTAAGTGTTGCAGAGATGAGGATGCTCAGGTGGATGAGTGGCTTTACTTTTAGAGACAGGATATGAAACGAGCATATATGTGAAAAGGTTGGAGTAGCTCCAGTGAAAGATAAGATTAGAGAGAGACGCTTTAGATGGTTTGGTCACATAAAACGGCGGCCTTCTAATGGCCAGGTTAGGAGAGTAGATGCATTATATTTGGCTTACGTTTAAGAAAGGTAGATGTGGACCTAAAAGATTTTGTTATAAAATATTAGAAATGACATTTCTTTATTGGATTTAAATGAGAATTTGACTCTTAACATGACACAATGGAGAAAAAACATTCATGTAGCTAACCCAACGTAGTAGAATAAAGACTTGATGTGGTTGCTATTGTACTATCATATTTGAATAACCTAACAATCATATTATAAATAAGGCTTAAAAATTGAAAATCCTAACAAAAAAGATTAGCAACTCAAAAACCTACAAATAATAACACATCATTTACCTTCAAAGTGTAGATCAGAAAGTGATAATAGCTTAGTGATCACAATGACCTAGAAAGCTTCGTAGAGGGAGAATATGCATTTGTTTGTAATGAAGACATACACGAACAATAAAAAAGAGTGAGATGTTGAGACGGCTTTAACCTTGGATAAGAAATAAGGTGAGGGAGCAAGGAACCAATGGACCCTCGATGACATGGAGGGCAGTTAGGGATCAAAAACTTAAGAACAAACAGAAATGATATATGATGTTGGCTAGGGAATTTATTAAGGAAACCAACAGATTGTTGATTGACTAAATTTCTGACAAATAATTAATCAAAACATATAATAACAACAAATTATTCACGAAAATTTTTCCTATAAAATTTATTAGCAAAATACCCGATGCAATTCTATCGAAAAAAAAACTGCAAGAATTATAGATGACAAAAAATTTGCTAGAAATTTATAGTATTTCAAAATATTTTTATAATACTATCAAAATTGTACTAACAGTGGAAAGAATCCCAAATGGGGAATACTAATATTTTAGAATTTCATCAAATCAATTTTTAACATCTATAATAACCCCCATAACTCACCAAATTTGAATATATGATACAAAAACACAAAGTTTCACTTTTATTTATCTTCTTCAAAACTATAATTCAATTTCATAAATTTATATAAATTGATGCATACTTCATAAATATATTTAAATTAATGCATACTTCATAAATATATTTAAATTACTCCTTCCAATAATTACTTAGATTTAACGCTTTAATCTTTCTTTCTATCTTCATCTCTGACTGAGATCCTAATATATTCATTCTCAGTGCATCAAACTTATTAAGTTCTTTAGGTTTCATTCCTTTTGCTTTATATCTATATATATATATATATAATTTTCTCGCCTCTTAGGACCTAACAAATCATTAAGAGTTCTAGTTTTGGTTTTGCTTGCTATACTTTATAAAAAAGTGATGTAGATTTAAGAGCTTTTATCATTTTTCAAAAGTGCATATTTCTTCTCTTTAACATCACTCTACCAACAATTCTCCAAGTCTAATTATTCAAGATTTCTAGACACTTCAAAAACCATATAAGAATTTTCTTAATGTGAGCGGTCATCTCTTATGGCATCAAGTTTGGCTCAACTTTAAATCACACATTTTGCTCTTTAGAAAATCCATCTCAAGGGACTAGCAGCTTCTCACCTGTCATCTTAGGACAAATATTTCTACTGATTACTTTCTTTGAACTTCTGAAATGTGCCTATAACCATACTTTATAGTGTGTGTTTAGATTACCATGTTATCAAATTGCAACATTAATGATCCTTTCTTTAAGTAAAAAAGAAAATATAAACCATCATACTTAGATGGTTCAATTTTAAATGGGAACCAAGTGTCCTAGTTTCGGGCACATGACAATTATTGATAGATCATTTATAACTATGAAATCTACTAGATCTTCTCCTAATTCATATTGAACATGAGTCCTCTCATAACACTGATTACAAGAACCTTGGCCTACCAAATCACTAAAAATTATTCTCCCTTCCCAAATTTGATTTTCTAGAACTTGAAAGCCAGCATAATGAGTGAATAATGGTCAATATCCACTCCAAATCTTTAATTTGCGATGCTGTAAACAAATAAAATTCCGCCTAAATGCTACCGACTTCAGTGTGCAGTTACCTAGTATCTGTTGTAGTTTTACTATCTTGAATAGACTTAAGATACAACCCTAGTTGTGAAAATTTTGGATTAAGATTGACCTTATTGAAGAATATGAAATGCTCCGTAGAAAAATAAGTGTGGTGACGTTATAAGGCTAAAAGTTAGCACTGCACATGTCAAAGTCTTCATCTTCCATAAAGAATATGTTTGGTTCACATATTTCAACCGAGAAATACCACCACACATCTAGTATTACTAATTTTGGCTTCATTAACACATTAGCACAACTGAAAATGCACTAAACAAATTTTCTTCAGATAATGTTTCAACCCCGAACAACTGATGATCCACCATTCGTAAGAGTACAAATTTTTAAAATAACAAAATAGAAAACCTGGGAAAATTGCATGATTAGGAAAGGAACATGTTACCCCTACCTCCGAAAGGAGAGCAACAACAACAGCGGAAATACAAGGAATTTCATCAGAAAGTTGGAATATGACGCGCACAATTGTGAAAACCTGAAGATCCTTCAACTGGTTTCAACACATAATCAAAGAGGTCAGAATCCTAAAAAGCATCTAAATTATAAAAAAACGAATTCCTAAATTCTGATCAAATTAAAACATATGAATGCTTTATAGCAAAGAATTTTGAACCATAAGTTGAACTCCGGACCTGAATAGGTAAAGAAGCAACTAGAGCTTCAACTGCCAAAATTATACTCGGGTCTCCACCCCATCTTAAGTCAATATCCATAATAATTTGACCTTTTTTTAGGCTCTGTACTTTGATGCCTAGCAGATAAAAGCACACAATAAGATTACTTTAAGTATAGTGCAGGAGATGCACATTCTCTAAGCCAGAAAATCCTGTTAAATGATTGACATTATGAGTAAAAATGAAAATAAAAAAGATGGTTTATAATGATTTTAAGAAAGAAAAAACAGCATAAACTTAACATTGAAAAAACAACCACTTGGAAGATATAGCTTGGACAAAGCTGGTCAGATTGGCAAAACAGTAAGATGGAAAGCAACAGGCAACAACTAAACAGCGTCCTTGGCACTCAGATAGCGCAGGCCTTATGCAGGAAGGAAGAACTGATGATGGTAAATAATCCAAATGTTTTCATCCATCACATTTAAACAATGATCGAAGAAATTGAAGGAATTATATGAATGATACGCATCATAAATTATTCTAGTCATTAGTTGATCTGAATGCACTGGAAGATAATGCAGCAAATTTGTGCAACTTCTAATGTTTCGCAATTGTAAAAATTGTAAGGACAACTATGTTAGTCTCATGAGCAACATCTAAATAAGCAAACAATAAAATGTATCCACAAAGTTCTTGTTGACCAGTAAAAAAAAGGCTATACAGTTTCATGTATGTGTTACATTGTTCTGAGCCCTCAAATATGATCATGAATGATGCCATTAAATTAAAACGCCTTTAGAAAAATCAAATATGTCAACCAGATAACTTTACTCAACATTAGAACCTAGCAGCCTTTGCGAACTTTCTTTTCGCACCTTTTTTGATGGCTATGTCAGACAATATTCTTAGAATGTTCAATGTGTATAAAATGGGATGACATATTGCTTCCTCACTTTTCGTGTTAGTTCACCAAATGAATTGGGAACGTTCCACATATCAACTTTCAAATTTTCTTGTGATAAGAAGCACTTGACTTCAAAAGCATGAAGTACCAAAGTTAATAAGAACCAATGAATAAGCTCATTTTAATAAAATAATTAATGCCCTGCAATCATATTATATTTTTATTCCATGGAAATCCTATCCTGATAGTACGCAAATAAGATTTTTAAGTAACTTTCTATAGAAGGAAAGCAGAATTTTCACTTTACCATACATAAAAACATGCTCTTAGTTCAATAGTTGGTTTAGGTGCTACTGAAGAGGTTCTACAAGGGTCAGCAAGAAGTAGGAAGAAGAGGAGTGCGGCTATAAGCTGACAAAGATGAAAAAGATGCGAAGAGAAATGATGAAAAGAAAAGGAAGCAAAGATTAGGAGAGAAAAACAGAAGTCTAATATTTGTTGAAGGGTTAGATTTCCTAAATGTTGCATGGTACACGCTACATAACCATCATGTCTAAGAGTTATCATAACCTTGTCCATGAAATAACTAAATTAAAGATTCTTGTTGTCTGAGGTTTCACCACATGAAGAGCACAAAATGCAGGAAATGAGGTCCTTACATGACTTTTGGATCAGTGATTTTTTTACATGTGCATGCTCCAAGTGGAAAAGAGGTGCTAACGATGCTCCACAATTAACTTGCATTAAAATTGTATCAGTGCCATCAGCACATTTTACCAAATGCAGCACAATTGTAATAGGTTCAAGCCTCCTCCCAACATTAAATTAGAATATGAATTGGGTTGGCCTGGTTGGGCTCATCTAATTACTAAAGTAAACTAATACCAAAGTAAATAAGCCCTTTATAAACCAACCAGAATTAGCTTATAACTAGTACAAAACAGTGTGATGGGAACATTAGAGCTTGGAAAGTCTATCAGAGACGTGGCTATCGATCGACGGCCACGATCGAGTCAATGTAGTTTTGAGTTATTTCATGTATTTGTCTTTTATTATGTTATTTATCTTTTATTATTTATGTTGTAGTTGTTTTCCCGTTTTTACCCCTTACTAAGGGAGATCGTATGTAAGCCCTGAGGGCATTGTCGTCTTTCTTGTTTTAAGTCCTATGTACGAGGCTATTTATAGCCCTTATGTTTCTTTTTGAAAGTTTAATGAATAAATGATCAATTTTCTTCGTGTGATTTCTTTGTGAGATCTTGAGAGTGTGTAAGAGTGAAATCCCTATGAGAGGGAAATCGGATCACCCATCAATCTTGGAGACGGCCGGGTTCGTGGTTCCTCGTCATTACTCCATTATCCATCTCCTCTCAGCTCCTAGCCGTCGGCCAAGGATCTTCCAACCCTTAGTCGCCGGTCACTTCTTTTCCCACCACCACTGCCGCCTAAAATTACCCCCACCACCCAAACCACCGTCCAACCTAACCTCACCCTCACCCCACCGAAATCCCCCATAGAGCCCACCAAGCCACCGGCCTCCCATCTCCCTCTCCCTCCAAGTTTCAAATTCCCTCTTGATACCTTCCATAAGCATCCACTCTTAATTTGGGAAGATTTAATTTCAAAATTCAAACTTATTTGAATTTGAAATCATTTTCTAATTTAGGAAACCTATTTTAGGAAAGTTACTTAATTAAACACCTTTTGAATTTCAAATTAAAGGGGATTTAATTATTTCTTTCCTAATTCCTAAATCTCAAATTAAGTAACCCAAATCCCTCCCCAAAATCTCTCCCTATCTCATTAAGCCGCCGGCCCCTCCCTCCTTAATTGTTTGGATTTATTTCCTAAAGCCCCTCTCCCCTTTTGGAATTAATTCAAAACTATCATGCTCCCTCCTTGGCCGAAATTCCCAAAGCCTTGCACCTCCTAATTACTTTCCAAAATCTAATATTAAGTTTTGGAAACAAATCCCTCATCTCCCTCTCCCCCCCCCCCCTTTTAGGAACCCCCCCCCCCCCCCCCCCCCAAAACCAAAATTAATCCCTCTTGATTTCTTTGCTATTTGCTAACCCCTATTTGGGAAGATTTCAAACACCCTTTCCCTCTCTCCTAGCCGCCCCACCCATTTTCTAAATACATCATAATCCTTAGCAAACTAAAAGGATTATTTGGGGAAACGTTTGCTTGATATCCCTCCACTCCTTTCCTTCAAAAATCTGAAACTAAATTATCCTCTATGGTCCCACCCATGGCCGGCCACCTCTCCCCCTCTTCCCCTTAGGAGTTTTCAAGATAAGCTCCTCTCTTTCAACCTTACTTGGTTTCTCCAGGATATGGTTGCATAGAAGGGCTTGTGCACATGAAGAAGAAAAGGCGCTAGTGCTTCTTGCTTGCGTACTTACTAGCTTATGGGATTAGCACCGGCTGGATGGAAACAACCTCTTAGAACTAGAAAATGCCCGGTAAGAAACAGAGTGCTAGCAAGGAATCAAATTCTTTCATGGGGGCAACTGACAATGAAACTGAATCGAATGGAAGCTTTCTCGCTTGAACTGTACTTTTAGGAGCCTTCAAGGGAAGTACCAACTAGTGTGCTCAACACTTCAACACTAGAGAAACTTCTTTCTCTCTAATTTGAACCTTCAAGAGATGCTACGATGAACATCTTCAACCTATCACTACTTGTTTCCGGGCTTCGACAAAAGTAAACTTCTTCGGTTCTTCCCCTTTCAATTATCTTGCTAATCCACTAATCTTGTAGGTGGTGATCTAGTCGTGGGGAATCGTGCCTCGCCTCCTGCCTGAGCTTAGTAAACGTAGGAACTTGTTTCGCCTTTGTCTAAGCTTAGTAAACGTATGGTCGAGCATACTTTCGATGCTTCTAATTTTATTGTTAGATTAGGAATTTTTGTTGAAAGATAATACATTTTCTTATTGTCGAGATTCTAAATTGTTTTGATAATTCAAGCGCTTGGCAAGTGGCTTAGCCTAAACGTAGGCACCCCTCTCTTGTTTTCTTTTGTCGTTTTGACTGCTAATAGTTTTAATCTTAATTGTTTTATTCAAAAAATTGTGCAAGTTCTTATCGCATCCATTTTAAGCATTGTAGTCCTACATCACAGTGGATATAATTTTTTGGTTTGCTCAATGTACCAAGTTGCATGCCGATCACTAAAGGTGTTAATTATTATCTCATGAATGTTTTGAAACATCAATACACTGGTTGATGTTTAGTACTATGTGATGAACTAATACTGTAGGAACATACAATAGTAGATTATGTATGTTCAGTGAGAATTCTACTGATGCTCATGTAAGGTCTACTCATTATTAATTCCCTAGCAATTCATTATTAATCATACCAAGTAGAAATATTAATCAACTGACATTATTGCAGATCAGCTTGTTAAAAAATTGACAAAAGAACAAACCTTCAATCTTGGGTGGCACGCTCCCAAGAGAAAATTTGCTGAACCTCAATGACGTTATTCCTGGGGGGCGATAGTCATCTAGTAGTGGTTCCACAGAATCTTTAACAACAGCAGTGGCCGCCTGACCAATGAACATAAACAGAAAATATCATCGCACTGACCAAATATGAAAACTAATCTTTATAGTCCTTTATCAAGCATTAAAGCCTAAACCAACATTTCATGATGCAACAAATCTATAGGAATGTCTCCATCAGGTTGAGATATAAAATATAATTAAAGAATAAGGTACACAGGTGCCAAAATAACAAAAAAAAAACGTCATACTGTTTAGTTTTGAAGAAAAATCAAAGATTAAAAGGTTTAAACAGAAGTATAAAATCCATGGCCAATGATCGTCACAAAGAAATTATATCAAGCACATCTTCACACGCTGCTAAGTATAAGTTCCGTTGTTGATAGCTCAATTATGATGATGAAATTCATTCTTATGTTCAAACATTTCTTTAGGATTAGAGATGGAAGAGGTGACTTTGTTCCAATAATAACGACTACAATCAATCATATTATGTTGTATGAGGAAGAAGTCATGACAAAATAATGGCAGGTGATGAATGTTTATCAATTATAGAAATAAATAGTGATGCATTTATATTCATGGGCTACAACGTGGCTTAGATTACAAAATGCATATACTTCAGCAAATTTCTGCAGAAGGAATAAAAGCATACTTCAGCAATAAACGGCCATAGTTTGCTCAACTGTTTATTAAGCCACTTAACCTGCACAAAAGAAGACAATGAAATTATTGGTAAGAAAATGAAAATTAATCCAACATAAAAATTTAAATGATGATCTAACAGGGAGACTTGAAAATTAGATATGCAAGGTAATCAGTGGATACAAGAGACAATGGCCAATTATATTACTTAAATCAGCCTTTGGGTAAGTTCGAAGGATTTACCCATGCCATTTCAATCTTATTCAGAATATTTTTAGAATCTTTAAATTGAGAAAAGTTAAACATATTTTCTTCAAATTTTCATTACCAACAACTTTGGCAATCGATGCCATCAACATTAGCCCTATCCTAACTATTTGGAATCGGGTTCAGTATTATGAATTCTAATTTTTTGTCCATTCTTGTTGAGTGTTGAGGTATTAAACATATTTTTCACAAATCATTTTGAATGGCTTCTCTCCATCTAACTTTAGATCTACTTGTGTTCCTTCCTAAGCACCTAATATTAATTTTATCAACTTCTTTAACGAATATATTTTCTAACCTTCTGTGTAGGAGTCCGAATCACATAAGTTTATTTTTAATCATCTTATTCTCAAAAGATGTCAAGATAAATTGAAGGATATATAATTGATTCATTTTTCAAATGAATGGTGCCTCTATCAATGATAGAAACTTTTCAATGGCTACTAGTCCTTATTCTTCTCTCGCCATTTAGCACAAGAGAAGAAAAAGAGAAGGCATGTTGAGGGTCTACAACCATAATCCATCCCGAGAAACAACTTTTGACAAAGAAAAGAGACAACTAAAGCACCTATGAAAAAAACAAAAATATATAAAATGATAAATAAAAGTTTAAACTACCATTAAATTTGAACAACATGCCTAGAATTGCAAATGTGCATAACTATGGAGCAAACTTGAGTTCTAGTTACAATGTACCTGCTCAAATGCAGGGAAAGATATCCATTCAGGAAACTTGTCACCGCAGAGTTTTCTTAAGTCATCTCTATTAAGAGACCCCAAAATTTTAATATCAACCGCCTGTAAAAGAAACACAGAATAAGTTGTTTTATATTTTCACAATATAAATTGCTACCATGCAAATAAAATCTAAAACTAAATGTGCATTACTCTCTACTAACATGGATCTAAGATAGAGGTAGATTGTCTGATTTAATAATAATAGAAGATTAACATGTCGGCATGTAATTTTCATTAGTGCAGATCAAAATTAATTAACATGAGAATCATGCATGTACATAAAAGTATACATATATTTTGCACTGGCACAACAAATAAATTCTCCCTATAAACCCGAGTCACATATACACACACCAAAATGAAATAAAATGCATGCAACAACGAATGCACTTTTGAGGGTATGGCCTCAACTGCTCCAACTTTCCCACCAACTCGTTGGCTAAGCCAACCCCCCTAAACCTTTAAATTTCAAGATTTGGGATCAGGAGATTTGGAAAAAATAGAGATGAACTCAAGAACCAGAAGAGTCAACGAGAGTGAGCGATTGAGAGTGCATGAAGTGTCGAAGACATAGAGATACCACTAAAGGAGGCATGTTGATTCACGCACGGCATTTCTCCTCCCTTTTTCTTTTTTTGACCTTTGCAATAAACCATTTCTTGCTCAAAGACCCAACAAGAGAGGCTTCTACTCAAAGAGTTTGTTGGATGTGACTCATCAATAACTTCTTATATACAGCCAACTAAAAAGGTAAGCCTTACTACTTAAATTATTATTTTTGTTAAATTTTGTGTAATTCATGTTAGTCATTGACCTTATACCCTCCCTCTCTTGCTGGCATTAGATGATGTTATTGAAGACATAATAGAACTGTGAAGTTAGGAAGTGTGTGGTGGAAGGAGAGAACTAATTGCACTTAAAAAATTAGGAGTTGAACATAAGAGATAATGCTGCTACAATTATTGAGTTCCTCATGAAAGTCATGCCACAAAAACCATACGGAGACCTCAATAACCTAACAAATAGGCAAGAATTAACTGAAGAGAACTTTGAATAATAAGAGAAAAAAGTGTTATATATAATATAACAAATTAAAGTACTCAAATGCATCGGTTATGTACACAAGTAACTTTTAACATATATCATATGAGATTTCAAACTGAAAATGTTAAAATTTAAGTGGAAGAAAAATATTTAAAATAATTTGCTAGCCGGTATACAAGCACTACAAATTTCCATTCGGTTTTAGCTGGTAAAGTACATATAAAGTTTAGTAGGAACAGTGCCTTTGCCTACACATTTCGCCCAATAATTCCAATTCAAACCAAACACTTCGGTAATCCATTATCCAAGAATAGCAACCGATGGATCTGCTCACCAACGCCGTCATCGTAAATTAGGGACAAATAACAGTAATTGAAATCTAACTTGCCAGAGTCCAAGCATCAGAAAATGCAAGATAAGAAAAAGAATATCTAGAAATCACAAACTATGCCTTGCACTGACCTTACTTATCCTCTTGGTGCTGCGGCGCATCATCATGCGGCTCCAACCAGCGACCAATGCGATCCCCACCAACGTCCCCATCACCAATCCCGATATGAATCCCATCTCTTCTCAGAATCTCAATCTTGGTTTCGTCGGCGCAGAAACGAGTTAACACAAACAAAACCCAACGTCTCACCCTCGCCTACTCCAAGATCGTGACCTCAAGTCTTCGCCTCTGACCTCTACGAAAAATTCGAGGAATCCAAACAATCAACTGAAAATTCCCGGGGAAAATCAATATTGACGAGGAAGAAATTGGATGAGTAATAGGTTAAAATGGTAGGAGACGTACGTCAAACGGACAGAATACCTAGTCGTCGAGGATTCAAGACGAAGTGAGCGACAGAGGCCACCGAGGAGACGCCTCAGTCAAGTGCTCAGGGATAAGAAACCGATCAGCTGAGGATGAGAAATTTTAGGTTAAAATGGTAGGAGACGTACGTCAAACGGACAGAATACCTAGTCGTCGAGGATTCAAGACGAAGTGAGCGACAGAGGCCACCGAGGAGACGCCTCAGTCAAGTGCTCAGGGATAAGAAACCGATCAGCTGGGGGAGATCCAAGAGAGAAGAAGGAAGAGAAGGAAGAAAGCTCCAGCCCTAACTCCTCTTAAACCACCATCAGAGTTCCTTCGCACCACTGCCGGAGTTCTGCCGCACCACAACCAGACCACCAAGGGACGCCAAAGTTCTGCCACACCACCGCCGGGCCACCAAGGGACGCCTGAGTTCTATCGAATCACCACAAAACCATCAAAGGACGTCGAAGTGCCGCATGAAGCTGGAGTGTCCCTTGACGCTAAAGTGCCACTATCGGACCACCTCCTGACACCGGAGTGCTGCTAAACCACCTCCGGACAAGTCATACCATTATACTTTGCTCAAATTATAGTGTAATCATTTTCAACTGGGCTAGGCCCCATGGTTTTTTTTCTCTTTCTTGAATTTTCTACGTTAAAAAATATTATGTTCTCTATGTGTGAGTTTGATATTCGTGCAACGCTAAAATGTAGAATTATAACTTTATTGATGCGTATATTCTAGCCGCAACAGTTATAAATTTTGAATGCATAAGATAAATTTTTTAAATATTTTTATGTTATATAGATTGGTATTAAAACTATTAGGATATCAATAAATATTCCTACTCGAATATGACTTGAAAAATTAGAATTCGGATTGACCCGTTTAACAAATAGTTCGTGTTGACTCACAAACTGGCTTTTGAATAAAAAATGATCTATTTAATAGTTCGTGTTGACTCACAAACCGACTTTAGAAGAAGGAAGAGAAGGAAGAAGCTCTAGCCGTCTAACTCCTCTTTAATCACCATCGGAGTTTTGCCGCACCATCGCCAGAGTTCTGTTGCACCACAACTAGACCACCAAGGGACGCTGGAGTTCTGCCACACCACTAAGGGACGCCTGAGTTATGTTGAATCACCACCATACCATCAAAAGATGTAGAAGTGCCACTCGAAGTCGGAGTACCCCCTGACGCTGAAGTGCCACTGTCTGAAAACCGCCTGACGCCAGAGTGTTATTGGACCACCACCTGACATTGGAGTGATACTAGACTTTTACGAAACTTTCAGCCGACAATTGTAATCTGGTCATCTTCATGGACAAGTCAGACCATTATACTTTGTTCAAATTCTAACGAAATCGTTTTCAACTGGGCTAGGACCCATGGTTTTTTTCTTTCCCGGGTTTTCCATGTAAAAAAATATTGTGTTCTATGGCCTCAGCTCAACAGTCAACGCATAATTTCTTATTTGGATGCAAATGAGCTTGCTCGAACCATTTTAATGATCCGTACGCAATGACATTTTATTTCATAAAATAAAGTCTCTATTAAAAATTTTAAAATGTGCAAAATCTCATGCATGGAACTTTTATTCGCCTGACATTCCAATGGCATGTGTCGTATGTAAGATAATGAACATATTACTATCATTTAAGCTTTGGTTCGACCTAGGCACTTAGCTCGTTGTCACAAATATGATGTGAATTGATTAAGGGGCAACCTCTATAGACACTTCAAAATTATTGTTGATATTGTATGAGCCATAAGAAAGCATGAGTAAGCTTATAAGAGTATTTTAATTAAATAAAGCAAAGGATTAATGGGGGTCGAAGTTGAGTTTTTTATGGTCCTTTCTATAGTCTCTAAGATGGCAATGAGCACAACACTCTAAATACCCAATTTAACATGATTTTGATAGTGATTTATCGGTTTGTAGTTTTAAAAGGTGCTTGGGGATATTGGAGTGCTTGTGTTATATATAAGGAATTTTTTAATATGGTTTATTATATTTGAAATATGAGATTATTAACCTCACTTTTGGCATTATGAGGTCTTCTGACTTGGATTCTCATTTGCGGATTCTAAGCTCCATATTTGAAGTCAAGGCAACATATTCTTGTAGGATAAGTAATTCACCATGCCGATTTTATTAATCGCAGCTTGATCAACCCAAACTTTAATAGAGTCTAGAAAATCACCAATGAAACAGTCCCTAATCAATATAAGCTAATACTTAATTAATATACCTAGACATAACTAAGCACGTCTAAGTTGCTCTTATAGTTATACAAAGCATATAAACTCGCCATAGCTTTATTAACTAGATATTAGTCTTTCAAAGGCCCTATAGGCACCAACATGTAGCCAAATTGACCTAATGAGTTTTTTTTGTAAGTTTTTGGTTGACAACAATAAGTGATGCTTGAGAATTCTAGATGGTATGCACTTGGTCTTTTATTGGACATGCTTTACTTACCACTATCATATTATTGTTCACTAACAATCTTCACCTCATCACTCGACATCACCCACTAAGTGACATATCAACATTAGTACTTGTTGACAACATTATCATGTACTTAGCCTTAGTCATTAGGATGTCTTCTTTAAGCTAAACCCAAAACCCAAAGCCTAAAAGTACTCGTAGGTGACTTTTAGAGTTTTATTGAACTATCCATGGTTCAGTTAACCTTTAACTTATCTAGAAGCTGCTAAGGACCCAATAATACTCTCTATTCACCCTAGATAGGTGGTGGACTCCTTAGGAAAACCCCTAAGAGAAATCCTAAAAATAATCAAAATGCCCTAAACCTAAATCTCACCTAAGGGCCCATAACCCTAGCATTTACCTTATGAACCTGTAACTTGTTTATAAACTTGCCCTATATGTCAAAGAGTCTAGGTCAAATATTTAATTGATAGCTAAAGTGGATTTGACCAAAGTCATCCTTTTACCTTAAATTCCCTAATATAAAGTTCAACCACCAAATATAAACCCAATGGTTGGGCAATGAGTTTAGTTTGCCTTAACTCATTCTAAGAACACCTTGACTCATGTTTGACCCATTGTCAAGTCCCATTTATCATGGTCAAATAGTAACTCAATTTTGACCAAATCACATTGAATTTAAATTCATAATTAAAGACAAATAACTTTAGTATTGAGTCCAAATAATCTTAACCTACTATAAAGATATTTAGACTAATGCTTGACCCATGGTCAACCCTAATATGGCAAAATAGGTTAGGTAGCCCTCCTTGGTTTCACTTGGACTAAACCCAATTAAGCCTAATCCAAACCTCTGAAAACTTGCATAACCCCCTATGAGACCCTAATTAGTCCTCCTAGGTGACCCAACATACTTGGGCTAACCCAGGTGGATTAGATGTCTTGAAAAAACTTAAGCCAAACACAAACTTAGTTCCTAATAAGCCTAAATCAACCCAATCTAAAACTTCTACATGGCTTTTCCACCCTCCTTGGGGTTTGCCAAGTCAGCATACAAATTGGCACCAACTCAGATGTTGGGTAAAGCCATTGTCGATAGCATCAAAATATCCCATTACCCATAACTCGTTACTCATGCCACTCTTAACCTTGAAAGAGGCCAATGACACGTCTTATCCTCAATGGATAGGCCCTAATTGCCTTGCTAGCTTCTATCACTGATAATTACAATAATAATAATAATAATAATAATCAAAATTTAGTTCCTATCTTCCTATAAATATACCTACATATGGATAAAATTAACGCATGACTAATGATCTCTCTTATTCTCCAATGAGTGCTAAAAAGATCCCTAGCTTCCCCTCCCTCATATCCACCCTTTTTAGTGTGTAAAGATACATACACAATGAAGCATTGATAATAAAATTACATGTATTGATCCAGAAACTCTTAGTTAAAGCTTCCTTTAGTGAACTTGGTCATTGTGATCAAGCAAAGCTTCTACAACCCTCAATTGCCACCCAAAACTTCTATAACCTTGCAAGTCATAATTTCATTTAACAAAAAAGTTAGTTTCACACATTGTGAAACCAAACAAGATGTTAAACTTTATATTGTCATGAATGTTGTGGCATACAACCGTTCTTATTTTTTTTAGATATATATTGCCCAACACAAACAACTAAATATATTTATACATTATCATTCTAAAATCTATTTTTTCAATTATTAATTTGAACAAACTTAAAAGAATATTAATCGAGCAAAGTTCGAGTTATTCGTCCGGTGCATTTGTCCATTTAATACCTTAATTATTAGGCTCTTAAGTTTGAAAGGAATTTGGGCGAAAGAATTTATGAAGACTAGTTGCTGCTAATGAATCGACGCCGGATGGTGAACTTGAACGTTGAGAACTTGATTACTTATGATGTATGTGAATATCATATATGGGTGTAAGTGTGTCAAGTTGGCTTGAGTTTGACTTATTTATGGGCTTGCGAGCCGAGCTTATCGAGCTCACAAGTCTAATTCGAGCTTGATGAGGCTCAAGCTCGATCGTTTAGTAAACGAGCTTGAGTTCGAGCTTGATGAGGCTCGGCTCGTGAGCCTGCTCGAATAATTATTAATATTTTGAAAATAATGTTTTCTTATTTTTAAATTTAAATATTAAAAAATAATAATAAATGTTTAAAATATTTAAATATTTAAAATAATCAATAATATCTAAAAATCCCGTCGAGGCTCGCGAGCCAGCTCGAGTTCATTTATAGTGGGACGAGCTCGATATTTGACAATTGAGCTTGACTCGAACACCCCCTGACTCTAGCTCGACTCGACTCATCTGAACCCTAACCATATAGAAAAAATAGACAGAAAAATAATATTTGACAGAAAATAGTAACATCAATTGTATATTTTGTACATTGCAACTTGCAAGGATGCTTTTATGCATGAATATAAAGCCATTATTACTAGGTGTTAAAAAAGAAACGATTAGAGGGCTGTGAATAAATGAGACGTTAAATAGCAAAGCTATTAGTGGCAGGTGTGCAGTGCTGACGCAAATAGTAATGGAATTGAATATTTAAAGAAGTGTTACAAAATTTATTTTATGAAGGTAGGCATCAATAACAATATTCATGGAGTAGCATTCATGCGAAAAACTCTACGAGTAGATATTTTCTTAATAATTCTAAATAAAAAAAGTCGAGTTAAAATATTATAATTAAAAAATTAATCAAAA